GGTAGTGGGGAATGGGTGAAGAGGTCAGAGTTTGACTTGGCAGTGCTGTGGGGAGAGGACCAAAGTGGGGGGGGGACACATACAAGGTATTCGGGGAAGGTGCAAAGAAGTGTACCAAGGGGTGCATAGTGTGGGGTTAGGGGGGGAGAGGAAAGAGAAAAGGGGGAGTCAGTTTGAGATCAAGAGAAAGGAGCTGATGGAGGAAAGGGGGTAGCGTTGGGGCCGGGCTTGTGGGGCAGGGGAATTAAGGGGCATCGAGGCCCGAGGATGGAGAAAGTCAAAATATTGGGGGGAAGATTTGGTGTAAGGGAAGTAGGGGGGTCATTTCTTTAAAGAAGGTGGCACCAAAGAATGGCTCTAGGGGTGTGGCTGTTCCCTTCCGCCTTCCTGAACCCCAGATTTCCATCCAGCCCCCCTCTCCCCACTTCAGGCTTCGACACGGCACCCCTCCTTCAGGCCAAGCTGTATATCTCCATTCCTGGGAGCATCCTCCTTTTGCAGTGCCCGTGATGATTTTTTTTTTTAAATTCCAGGAGCCTTTTTGCATGGGATGGGGGGGAAGTTGGGTCAAAGTGGGTGACAGCCCACAAAAGCTCATAACAAACTACAAACGCTTATTAAGGTGCTTCGGGGCTTATTTTGCTGTGATTTTGGGGGGGGGTGTCGGTGATGGCAATAGGTCTACTTCAGGCTCTTCCCACACCTCTTTCCCGAACCCTAGCATTGCCTGGTCCATTTTCTCTCCGCCTTGGCATTTCCTGCCGCAATTAGTTAATTGTAATAGAGGTCTAATAGAAATGCTTGTCAGGGGTGTTCTGGGGCAGGTAGCAGGGGAAAAGGGGCTTAGGAAGGGGGTGTCCTGGGGGTGGGCGCTTAACTGCACCCTCACAAATTTCACACGTTAGCCAACCTGAAGGGGGACCAAAAAAAAAGGGACAGATGAAAACTCCTGTGAAGTTTACAACCGTGTGGCGAAGTTTGCCACGCTGATTTCCCCCCACTTTTTGTGAGTGCAAAAATTTCACACACTACATTTCTCACCCACCCCACTGCCCTGGTTGCTACGTCACAACATTGCTGCTGTGGTATTTTTTTTGTCCAGCCATTGTGTCTCTTTCTAAGCAGTGGCCTTCCTCGAAAGTAAACAGGTCTTTACATAGGGATCTTCTGTGTCGTGTGGGATGAAGGAAAAGTGTATCTGGAGGACATTTGGCATGAGTCTAATTTGGGGGGGAGGGAAGCCCCAAAGCATTTAATAACAACCCTGCCTTGTTAGGTTGCAACAGCCACTCTTGTGAGTGTAATTTGAGATTATGTGTGTGTGTGTGTGTGTGTTTGTGCCCCTACAGGTGTACAACCCCCCCAATATTAATCTATTTGTCATACATGGGAATGTGCTATTTCCCTCATGTGTTGCATTCCCTTCTCCTGTTTGCATGTGTCAAGAGTAGCCATTCCCAGTATGAGAGACACACAACTTTTTTTTAGCGCACACAGAGCTCAACAGTTGAACACTTTTACCTCAGCTTTTCCGGAAATAGGCCTGCGCCTTTTGGGTTGGTCCTCACAACAGGACTGCAACGGCCACCGCTTCTAACAAAGATAAACTCTGGGACCAACTTTAGCATTCTTTCAACACCCTCATGTCACAACACCCAAGACCAAACCTTTTTGCACTTTGTATTAATTAATCGGGGAAGCCTTCATGCCCTTTGCTTCACAAAGGTGGATTAAAATCCCCTAACTGTCTGCAGGCATGGGTTGAAAGGAGAGGAAAAACTCTGAGCCCTTTATCACTCTGATTGTGAGTAAAACAGCATGATTAAAGGGCACGAAGGGGTAATTAATCTGCATTAAGTGATCTTGGGTATGCACCCTGAGTGTGTACTAGAGGGTGATTAAAGTGTATTAAGGGGTAGAGGCAATACATTATCCATCCTCCCCTTGTTGTTTGTGATGTAATTATGTAGGCCCTTCTTCTAACAAGGCTTTTAACCCTAAAGCGTGCCCAAATTTTCTACAGCATGTAGGCTTCGAGTAGGTTTTCTCTGGATTCAAGAAGCGGATCAACCATTCAGCTTTGGGGTGCGCCACAGAAAATACTCCTTTTTTTAAAAAAGTGCCCATTTTGAATGCTGAGGCCTGGAGAAAAGTTGCACCCCACTCCATGGAGATACGCCTAATTAGGATAGGCCTGACTCCTGACATGTTGGACAGGCAACATCCCACTCAGATGTTCTGGGTTCCTTAAACTGAAGATGCATTTTGGGGTGATGCCCCCCCCCGACTGGGGTCGAGGAGGCAGTGGGGAGCTAGGATTCCTGACTTTGTGAGACCTAGAAATGGGCAAAGGGATGGCACACATCTCTGGCTGGGAGCCACAAGCAAAGATCATACCTTGGCGCTTTGTTTTCCTAGACCAGGTTCTCACAATCATTTATATGGATAAGAATCCAAAACTCTTAAGTATTTGTCGAAGCAGGGTGTGGATGTGTGGGTTGTCTAAGCTTTTCAGCCGTTCTAATTGTGATTACGACCGATCCTGTATTAATAGGTGGGATATTGTATGTTAGGAGAACGTGCGTGTAGAAGCATGGTGCAGAATTGGGGTCCTCTTTTAGGGCACATGTTTCTCAGTGGGTTTGCGTTTTGCTTACCTCCCGTGATTTCAGTGTATCTTTTTTTGTGCAGAAGTGCGGTTATGGCTCATTTCCTTTTTAACAGTGCGCATTACGGGCTAGGTTTGGAGGGGTTCTGTACGGGGAAGCACCCTCCGTTGTCGTATGTGCTGTGGGGTTTGTGCGATGGCTTGTATGTGCGTGTGCGGGCATGTATGAGTGTCTTTCTTTCTGTTGGGTGTGCATCTGTTGTTGTCAAGTGAGACCTCATTTCACTGCAGTGACCTTTTTTATTGCTGCTTGGTGGGTGTGTGCGTGTGCATTTGTATGTGTGTGCCTTGGTAACCCTTTCATTCCTGCAGAGCTTCTGCCCCTTCGCTTCCTCTACAGCTCACCCTGCTGGTTAGGCCCAGCTCTGGAGCCTTTCAAAAACCTGGCCTGTGAGTTCCTCCAGCAACCTGCTAGCCATTTATTTTATTTTATTTTATTTTATTTTAGAGGCTCAGAGGAAAATGGGATGGGAAGAAATGGATAAAATGCATCATCCTGGAAGAAAGCATGACTGATTGATTGAGACAGTGGGTATGTCATATGGATTTTATTTATTTATTTATTTTTGCTGCAGAGGTGCCCCTGTATGTCAACCCCATCACCTACCACTCTTTGAGCTTCCCGGTGCCCCCACTCAGTACCCCCATCGGTCTGGGGTCTATGTCAGCGTGACAAGATTTTGACCTCTGTACGCCCACTTTCTCCTACACCCAACATTAGGACGTTTAATTACATGTGTACAGATATTTTCCTCCATATCTCCCTGCACGGTCTGTACATTTCTCCTGTTCAGTGTTTCAGGCATTGCCTTTTATGCTAAGATCTTTTGCTGTACTTCTTCATTTATTTCTTTTAAAAAATGTTTTTTATTCCCCTCCAACGTTGACTTTATTCTTTTTTCCCCATCTTTTTCCCTCCTCTTCCTATTAATGTTTTTGCCCTGCGCCTTGTTTCGCTATTCTTTCTTTAAATGATTCATTCTCTTTGATAAAGCCCCTCCAAATTCCATTCCCACTATCCCACTATGCAATAGCCCTCTTTGTCCAAATCATNATATTATTGTTACATCAAAAGCCAGTCTTTAATTTAGCATTGTGGGGTGCAGTATCTACCCTAGTCTGAGAACTGAGAGAGATGACGCATTAATAAAGAATACTGATCCACAATTTTCCAATGGTACGTGAGAGCAGCCATTTCCTGGTCAAGAAAAGTGACCGCCAGCCAGCTCCATCTCGCCCGACAAAGAGTCCAGGTCATTATTGTTACATCAAAAGCCAGTCTTTAATTTAGCATTGTGGGGTGCAGTATCTACCCTAGTCTGAGAACTGAGAGAGATGACGCATTAATAAAGAATACTGATCCACAATTTTCCAATGGTACGTGAGAGCAGCCATTTCCTGGTCAAGAAAAGTGACCGCCAGCCAGCTCCATCTCGCCCGACAAAGAGTCCAGGTCATTTATTCCATGAATGTCACCTGGGGAGGGGGGGAAGAGGGGGAAGAAAGCAGTCATACCCTTCAGCCATCAAACACTCCATCCTTCCCCCCCCTTTTGCCCCACTTTGGTGTGAGTTTCGTTGGGAATTAGATGCTGCCCACCCCCACTCCTCCCCCAAATACACCTTTACTGTATTTTTCTCTGGGGGAGGGTGGCCAGAAGGCCAGTGTTGTGGCTGCTGTAAGGATCTACAGTGGAGGCAGGGAGAGAAAACCTAGGAGGAATCAGGGATCTGTTTGCTTTATCAGAAGCAAAACAGCCCTACACTCTTACCCAAGAAGAAAGAAAGAAGGCAGAAAAGAATCAAATAAAAAGGGTTTGCTCCTTCTCTCTCACCTTGAGTCTCTTGAACAGTTGGGGTTTTCTTTTTTAAAGAAAGACTCAGAACTAGAGAATCTCTGTGGATGAAAAAATATATAGGTATATAAACACACATAAAAGCAACTTTACATCTTAAAAGTGAAAAGCAGGCCCTAGTAGCAATTAGTAGAAATCCATTGTCGTTCTTATTACTGCTATATGACTAATCTGTTGTGCACTCTGTGTAATTGTGTGACTAAGAGATCTATTTACAGATCAATGTATGTTAAATAGGAGGCAATCAATTTAATTATCAGTTTTTCTAAAATGTGATCCTTCTATTAAAGATTTATTTTCAAGTCTGTATGCTCCAACTATAAATGTAATGATCTCTTTTCAAATCTATAAGGGTAGTTATAAATTACTCCTACTAGAATGTTTTTGAAATACAGCAAGGAAAACATTGATTTTCCTGTAAATATAGTTATAGTTAATCCATAAACAGTAGATTTATTTGCAATTAGAAGTATGAAGCTATGGCTAACCTATGTGTTCCACAGTTCTAAACACAACCTTTTGTAACTGTATATATTGCGATTATTATTTCACTTATAGAGCACAATTAAAGGTTTATTTGCAAAGTCCCTCTGTTTGCTTCTGCTTATCAATATTATTTTATCCATGTTATGCAAATATTCATACCTGCCCTAAATAACAGGTACTTTGTTTGAGATCACTATGTCTATAAAATTATAGATGCTTTAATAATATTGCTAATTATGATAATTATAAAAACTAGTCAGCTCTATGTGTCATTCCACATTTGAAACTCTTGTTTTGAGTGTCTGTAAATTCATTTCTCAATAATAGAATCAGTCAGTAAATACTTTTTATCTGTATCAATAATACATTATATCTATTTCCAGAATATGGTTCAATAAATATAAAGGGATCGATTTATAAACCTATAAATAATATACATCTCTACATTGCGTCCTTCATTTTCCATTATAGCAAGAGCCCTTCAAAGCACTTATTCAGTGTAAAAGGACTGTTTGTGAAACAGGCGATCTGGCCCGTTGGCTTTCTTTTTAAAACAGCTTTAACAGGAGTAAAGTGCTGGGCCATAAATAATAACTCTGTTTCTAAATAAGTTTGCATAGATTTGCATAGATATTTTTAGATGCAAGCAAATTATATAACTAAGAAAGACTTTCCCTTTCCTGCTAGATTGTGGCATAGAAGGAAGGATGATTCTATCTCGTCATTCCCTTTTATTTTTGTCTAAGTACTCTGCTGTAGTCAAATTAAGTGAAAATCATAATCTGTTATCATAATAGCTCAGATATTATCTGAATGATGGTTGGAGAGATTGTTTATCAGCAAAACTAATTTTTTCTTCTTTGAAATATATACACAAAAATGTAACAACTATAGGTGTTTGTAAATATAAAGCTATAGTTGATCAATCCGTAAAAGAAATATAAAAAGCCACGTCATACAGGTTTCAACAGATCCTTTCAGATTTGTGATATTGCCCTGGTTATTCTATTGAACAGAATTTTCAAAAATTAAAAATAGATGTTCTTTCTTTTGCTTGCTGGCATGATTAAGATTTTTTGGAAATATTGAAACTTGCTAAATACCTTATACTGTAGTCAAAGAAACTGAGGCCTCTATTATGAATTCAAACGTCAGTAGGTGTACATGCAAATAAATATTCTTCAGCACTCAAAATAGAATTTTATAATTAAGAACCGTTTTAGAAATTACAAATTATTGCTCGGATTTTTATCACCAATCGTGGCAAAACAAATTTTCAAAGTTGTAAAACTGGTATTTTTTCCATCTCATACAGCGGAGTTATTCTTTTAATTATTCCAATAACGTTCAGTGCGAAAAGGGATCTTCTGATAGTTTTCAAGGTGGATGTCCTGGTTCTGGCGCATAGCTGGCGATATGTAGATATTGGAGTGATTTTAAATTTTTACTACTATTATTATAATTTCAACTTCAGTATTTCCCCATTAGTGTGAAGCAGCCGGACCAGAATGAGTGAAATTCAGCATTCCATAGTTTAGTAGTAAAGCAAGCAATGTGAAAGGTGCATGGAGAATTCTGATAGTGTTTTCTTTTAATTGAGGGGGACCTACGCATGTTTTGTCGTCTGCATTCTCCTTTATAGAATTAGTTACTCCCCTCAGCCCAGCCCAACAATCCCACCATCCAAACGACACCCTGCGACTTTAGAGACTGCACGGTTGGACGTTCGGCTGCTCACGCTGGGAAAGCAACCAGTAGGTTAAATTTCTCTGCAGCTGTGAAGACCGCCACCTCATCTCAGAGGAAGGAAATAGCCTCCATGTTCTGAACAATGATGAACATTAATGGAATCTAGCATAGAAAGCAAACAGGATTGTTGTACTCCATGTTGGAGAGGTGCTTGTATTTCAGCTGCATCTGTGGTTTCGCAAAGGCCCTGTGCAGAAACCTGTGCTTAATTCGGATGCATAAAATACTTTGCCTCTTGCCTTTTTTTTACAAAGAACAATTCACCGTGTAAGATTGTTGAGCCAGCGGTGATTGGGTTTTAACAAAATGGAGGCCCAACAGCAACTACCCATCTCGTCCCTTGTCTAAAATGACAGTTGATCCACGCCGCCTATATAGGTTGCAGTTCGTTTGTGGTGAATGAGGAGACGTGAGTGCTCTTCCCTGAGCCCTGATCGCCGATGGGTTATATGACATTGTGCTGCATTTTTTGGTAGAGTTTGTAGTGACATGTCCCATTCATTTTCTAACTGCTATCCTGGACAGAAATAAACATGGCTAACCACCCATAAGGGTTGTGTGTTTGATCCAGAGACTTTGCTCTGTTCCTTATTGTTTTGTTGACAAGTTGAAGTGAAAACTTCTTACATCAAAGCCGATTTAACATTTATTCACATAAGCAGGCCAGGTAGAGTAGGATTTTTCACATTTAGTTATGCCGTAGTTACGGTAGCAAGCCTTGTACAGTATATCTACCTCCATCAGTGGTCCTGGTATGGAGCAGAGATTTAACATTACATCCCAAATCTGAATGGGCAGATCACTTGGTGAGTAGCAGTGAATTATACCCCCATGTCCTATTTTAAATATGGACTAAAATATATTCAAAGTGGTTCCTAGATTAAATCAAGCCTGAACTTCCTCTGGAGGCAAAAAATGATGAAATGGAGGCTGTCCTACTCTGGGCACATCATGAAAAGGCAAGACTCTCTGGAAAAGACAATAATGCTGGGAAAAGTTGAAAGCAGCAGGAAAAGAGGAAGACCACATATGAGGTGGATTGATTGCATAAAATGAGCCTTGAGTTTCCAGAGCTGAGCAAGGTTGTTGAAAGCAGGGTCTTTTGGAGATTGCTCATTCATTAGGGTTGCCATAAATTGGAAGCAAGTCGACAGCTGATAACAGCAACAAAATCTCTTACTCCAGATTGATCCCAGTGCGTCTAGATTGTGAAACAGGAAAAAGCTTTGTTTTGCCTTGCAAATAATCAGCAGACTTGATACATCTGTATTTTGTTCTGTAAACATGGGGAAGATGTCTATATTAAACATTTTGAGCATTGCAACATTTTGATTCAGAATGAAATAGGATATCCTTGCCCTTTTAAAATTTGTTTTATGTTAAAGGTTAGAAAATCATTGTTTAAAAATACAGTAACTGCGGTGGATTGAATTTACTACTAATAAAAACTTTTTAAAAAGTAACTCTTCTGGGAGTTGTGGTCCAAAAAAAGTATCTTTGCAAACAACAACAACAACAACAACAACAACAACAACTTTGTGGAATGTTATGACTGGCAATGGTTCATGGTTTATTTTCCAGCAGACCAAATAATTCCATGTTTCAAAAGTTGTGTTTACATTTTTAAACACAAGACTGAATCAATAACTATTTTGCTTTGTATCTATTTCCCTTCCCTTTCCTATTATCAATTTCTCTTCAAAAAATCTTTATTATTCATGTTTTAAATGAGTTTGATAATGGAAAGATAAGAATTGAGGGGGCAAAGCCTGTCTCCTTCAAATAAAAATTGATAGGCTGGGAGCAAGTTCATTAGAATCACCTAAATTTTAAAATATTTAAAATAAATGTTAATATTAAAGGTAATAATACAAACATTGTCAATGTTCTTGAAAATTAATCCACATGAATCAAATATTCTGCTGTTTGGAGCAGATCATAATTTTAACCGTAAAGATGTCTTGGGAGGGTGGAGAAATTAGCTTTCCCCCCACTTTTTAACTACCCTGATTTTGACTATGCTTCTGTTTAAAGAGTTTTAATAGTAAATTAATATTAAGTAATCTTGAATATGCACCAACCTCAGGGAAGGTTAAAGTTCATAATTATAACATTGAGTATTTATCCACTGTTTTTCCAAAGTGCTTCACCTTTAAATAATACCTTTGATTTATTCTCTTCTCAGTTAAATGGCAGGAGAACGAATACCACAAAATACATGGCACAGCGAATTTAATACAGATCAATTCTTTGCACATTTCAGTTGTACTTTTTCCTTACAGTAAGGCAATGAAATCATAAAAAAGTGATTCCTTCCACCATTTCTGTGTCTACTCATGAGTATATATTAGGGACTGCAATCTGTGTGGAGATTCTACATGCAGAACTAGGGTGATAATTATTGAAAGTTAGTTCATTGGTAGTACTGTAAATGGTTGTGTCCTCTTGTAAATAACCAGGCGGGCCAGTGCAACTTAAAATCACTATGATTCCTCATTTGCCCCTTATTTTCAGGGGCACTGTTTATTTTAAAAGATTATTCTGGAACGTAATGGCTTCTCTGTCCCTGATGGGTGATACTTTCCGAAACAACCAGCCTGAAGAGCAAAAACGAAGCAGAATAGGTGAGACAGTATAAAGAGAATGTTTAAAAAAAAACCTGAATGTAATGGCAGATTAAAATCCCAGTCTTTTAAAATGTGATAGGGACATGGGGAAATTGGCTATATACATAGAGAGAAATATAGGCAACAATGAAAAGTACAGTTGAGAAGAGGCTTTGCAGAAATGGCGAGCCGATGTTTTTACGAGAAGGACAGACTCTCTGGTAAATGGGGTATACGTGTCTGTGGGAGATTAACCATTATTACATCCATTCTGGACAAAGCTATCCTGTTCATAGGGCCATTATTGTCTTTACGTTGCGACTGTGTATTGGGCTCCTATTAAAATACTCCATACTTCAGAAAATGGTAGCTGTTTCTTCGTCACATGTCATGCGAACAACAGCTGTGTCTAGAGTTGCCACAGTTTTTTCTCGACGGAGGTGTTATGTCTTTATAAACTCCAGACAGACAGAAAGCGAACCCACATAGGCCCCATGCCTGTATTGTCATGGTGCGGTTCTGAATATTGTGGTGATACTAATGGTAGAGTATCTCCCTCAAGGGGGGTGGGGGAAACGACCATGTTTCCTTTTGTGAGGAAATCTAACTTCTGCCTGTAAGCTTACACAAACAAACAAAACAAGAAAGAAAGACTGGATATATTCTATCAAGTCTTGTTTGGGTCTTGAAAACGGTATTTGAAAAGACACTTCAAAATACCTGTGTGGCTACAGCTGAAGGAGGAGTGTGAGGTAAGACCACATGAAAGTATGTGCACCAAGTATTTGGGAAATGAATAAACACTTCTGTTGTTTTTCCCAAATACTTGATCCACAAACTTCCATATGGTCTATCCACACACACACCTTCCTCACACTTACAGCAGTTTTGTTAAAACACTTCCGTTCTTCAGGTATTGCTCAGTTTTCCTTTGGAGAAAAATGGAAATGCCCTTATATTTCTTTTATGGTTATGATAATGCTCTTTTTAAAATGTGCTAACCAAAATACACAAGACATTTACTTCAGCTTACTTACAGTTACAGTAACACAATAGTAAAGGAAAAGGAAAATGTAAAAAAACCTAAATAAAAAAAGACACACTTATATACTCTTGTGCTCCCTTCACCACTTGAGAGAGTTTCTCTATTCACACATCAAATTTTATAATTAATTACCCCTATTTTAACATCCAAGGATTATTAACACAGCTCCCTCCATTATATCACACTGAACATGCTTGTACTGTGGTAAAAACGAACTATAGCAAGTCTTGAACTTCAGTGGTTCAAAATGCCTGTGAGGATGTTCAAACAGGAGGGTTCCTGTTTCCATTCATGGTAGTTTAGTGCGTGGTCTGAACCTTAAACTGTGGTTAAAATGTTAAACTATGGCATGTTTAAACCAGCTAGATTTGTAAGCTGGTTCTGCACGGCTACTTCACTCTATAGGCAGAGTTCATCAAGGCCTCTCTCAAAGATAACTGCGTTCATACAAGCTTCTGCATCTATTCGGGTGTTTATCTACCCCTGTGAAAGCAGATTATTTGTAGTATTCAGAGATGCCCCTTTTCCTTCAGAAAGCAGGGGAAACTCTGCCTGTTTGGACTGCCCTCAATCCTCCATGGGACTTCTGTCATGCGAATTTGGTCAGATTTGTGTTTCGTTCGCTTTTTGACCTGCTTCAGACTGTGTACAGACGTATGTTTAGCCACTTGGAGAATCATATGGAGTGGAAAGGCAGTATAGAAATGTAATAAATAAATATACATGCTCGCCCAGAACATTTATTTATTTATTTATTTATTTATTTGTAGGCCGTCTTTCTCCCGACGAGGGCACTCGAGGCGGGTAAAATACAGAATGTATAATGCCTTTTGGCTGACGACAGTAGAAGCTGTCTGAAAGCAATCTGCGTTTCTCCATCGTTAAAAAACAACAACAAAAGGCAGGTCTTGAGGGGATTGGGTAAGATTGACGTGAGTGCATCGTTGTGTTCATGGAGGTATGCAACAGCCTTTTTGAACCCGAAATCTTCCAATTGCTTTGACCTATCTCTCCCATTCTCCCCAGCTCACGTATCCTGTTGAGTGTGCGATCTGAGAGGAATGAGAATCAACATATTTAAGACAGCTAGTTTGGAGAGAAGCAGCTGTGAGGTATCAAGCGTGGTTCTAATTCCCACTGAGCCATGAAACGTACCAGGTGACCTCGGGTAGGGGACTGTCTCTCACCTGAGGCTACCTAACAGAGTTGTTGTGAGGATAAAGAGGGGAGGAGGAGAGCCACGTTGAACTCACTGGAGAAGAGCCGAGATCAAAATGTTATGGACAGTGCTTCTGATTGGCAACGTTGACCTTTGCTTAGGTAATGGTTGACTGCTGGATGTATTTTAAGCATGCCTGCTAAGAGAAATCCCTCTTACTCATTGCAAGGCAGCTGGCCATACGAAACATGCATTTAAACATATACTTAAATGCCTTGCTACATGAACAGATTGATTAACACATGTAGCTGCCACTTTCTGGCTAGCATGTTTTTAAAAACCACAATGTACATGAACCCATCATGTCGATGCCTCCTCGGGGACTTGCCCGAGGTCACTCACCTAGCTTGTAGCAGAGAAAAGGAGCTAACCTAGACATTTCACCCCCTCAGACCTGTGCTTGTGGCTCTTTGCATGATCTGTCTCACCCCATGCATCTTTAATTAAAACAAAAAACGAACCTGAAACTCCAACCAGCAAACTTTTCAGGTCTGAGTTTTGTCAGGTCTCGTATGTGCAAAGGGAATTTTGATGTTGGGGTGGGAGGCATGTTTCTTCAACTTAACAGTTTTGTTAAACATTGAATTTATTTATTTATTCATTTATTTATCCATACCACCCTTCCTCCAAAAGATGAAGGAACATTCACAGCACCCTTGTAAGATAGGTGTGGGATATTGATTGGCCCTGTTTTTTTCCAGTGAATTATGTTGCAAAGCAGGGATTTTGAGGTCCTGGCGTTAAGTTTTGTACTCTGAACCATAGCGAAGAACACTAATATGTTAAAAGGCTGTCAGTACGCAATATAAGCTTAGGGTTTCAAACACTGGTTTTCAGAATTTCAGGAACCCTTTCTATTTTATTTTATCTAGAATTTCTAGGTAGGTATACGTGTAAGTTTCATATCTGTTTGTATTGAGTTGAGATTTACCAAAAAGTTGCAAAATTATAATGTGTAGGAGAAAGTAAAACTGGGAATTCACCTTTTCTGTTCGTAGAGATGAATGAGAATTCTGTTTCCTGCTTGTTTGTTTGTTTGTTTTTTCAGTAAAACTGGGAATTCACCTTTTCTGTTCCTAGAGATGAATGAGAATTCTCTTTCCTGCTTGTTTGTTTGTTTTAATCAAGATGTACATGTGAGAGGAAGTGAAACTGACACATATTTCCAGATCCTTGAGATAAATTAGTGTTTTGTTTTGGTTCATTTTTGGTCAGAATTTACCAAGATTTGCAAACTTTTAAGGTGGGATGAAGTGAAGCTGATATATGGTTTTATGGTACATGGCTACTTCAGGTAACACAGTGACTGGTGCATCTATCTAAACTGATAGAATGACGTGGCAACACAGGGAATGCTATTTAACAGCTGGATGAGATAAGAGAAGGTCACAATTGGTGGACAAGATGGCTTTCAGCCATTTTCTTACTGAGGAAATGATTTAGAAAATGATTTGGGAGGAACCTGAAATAATTTCTGGGTTCCTTCAAGCTGATCTTGAAAATACAATTTGATTTAGGGGGAATAACCAATTGCTTACACTTGTATTAACTTCAGAGGCTCTTTCTGTTTCCGGTTAAGGCTGCTGAAGTACTGCTGTTTTTGTTTGCTTTACCCTAACATGGAGCAGTGGCTACTCTATATTCTCCGGCACTGAATAAGGGATTTTGAACATTCAGCTTTTGAGAGGCACTACGCCACCCATCAAAACCTGCTTTCCTAGACAGAATTTGCTAACAACAATCAGTATGAAATAACTATTCCAGATATCTTCCTAACAATTGTTAACTTCCTAGCAGCAGATTCTCAGGTAAAGCCTCAATTATATTTTCATGTACACAGCCAGATTTGTTAAAGAGTAGGTTTTCAGGAACATAGGAAGTGGGCTTATTCTGAATCAGAGCATTGGTCTGTCTTGCTTAGTTTGGTCAGCTCTGCCTAGTAGGGATGGTCCGTGGGATTGCGGGCTGATTTTTTTCCTAGCTCCACTAGAAGATCTTTGGTCTCCCAAATGGGTACTAACCAGGTCTAATTCTGTTTTGCTCCGGCAGCCCTATGAGATCATGTGTGTTCAGAGTAGTAAAGCAGTGGCATTCTTCTTCAACCTTGCTGTCTTTCTTCAATGGGTAGGAATGATAAACCGTGTCGGAAGTGATGGGTATCAAATCAGGAGGTTGCTCATTCTTGTAGAATAATTATTTTAACATTAAAGAGAGTGCCAAGAACAGCTGAGCGTATTGGGCACTAAAATGCAACGTAGAAATGATGAATACTAATATTGATCTTTTTGTATGCCCCCTAGGATGGTGTTATCAGGTCTCTCAGCTATTAAAAGCAAAGAACCTCTGTTCATATATAGATAGTAAAGCTTTCATCAGAAACACCGTTCCTCACTTTCTGTCTTTCTCCGGAGAGGAAATGGCAACTCGTTTTCGAGGAGACAAAATCAATGTTCTCCTCTCTGTGCAGGAGGGATTGTTTTCAAACTTCCTAAGCTCGCTAGCGTTCCCCAAGAAGGGGCACAGCTTTGCAGCTGCCGTTTGCATCTTTTTGAAGGAGGTCTGATTCCCAGTTGTGGAACAGTTGAGATGGCTGATTTTTCTTATAATTGCTGTTCTCTTAGCCACAAATGTTACTCACTTTTTTAAAAAAAAACCAGCATTATGCGGCAGTCTTTGACTCATTCATTGGGCAGCTTCACCGGCTGATTTTATAGATTATGTCCAAACTCCTGGACTGTAGTAACAATGGATGTAGATTTTCTCTGGTGCCTGCAAGTTATTGCAGTGCACGACCCAGAGGCTACAAGAGAGAGTTGTCTTGATCACAAACGCCTTTGCATCTGGCGCCATCTGTTCCAAAGCGTGCAGTCCAAATTATTCCTCCAAGATAGTTCTAGCACGGGCAGCGCAAAGTTTTCCAGAGGATGACTTAGGGAAGGAAATCCGAGATAAGAAATCATGCCTTGAATGACGTGCCACCAAAGCTGTTTGTCTCAACCATCATTCCTTTAACATCCGTCTTTTATCTTTTATCTGGCAGCCAGGGGCCCAGATGATTCCTGCCCCGTTTTATATATGGGTGCCAGGGCCATACAGAGCCAGAAGGCACCTTGGAGATTTTTTCAGTTTTGTTCAACGAAGAAGAAAGTGAGGGAGACTGCAAAGTATTACTGGGCTGGGAAAGGATTTGCCTAACGTTTGGATGGCTGTCTATTCCTTAAATTTGTCACAAGAATTTCGGCTTTCCCTGACGGTGGAAACACAGTGTCACATACATTTTCCTGATCTGGCCGTTTGTTTCCCTGTCTGCGACAATTAATGTGTTCGGCTTTCATAACTTCAGTACGACATATCTTCTACCAAATTAGGTTCTCCAGGACAAAAAGCACAGCAGAGACGGTTCCCTAATTTGTCCACATCACTCTTTCGCATGTGCTTCCTGTTACTGGCATAATAGTGGGTCCACGGCTAGGCTGATCTCTGCAGTAAACCTTTGCAAATGAAGACAGGTTGCAATGGACAGTCTGCCCATTTGGTTAGCTTTGGTGGAGGAATTGCCTTCTGGGTGCTCGCTGCTTTATTTGTCCGGTTCTAGATTCTTTCAAAAGCACTGTATGTTAAGGCAATGCTGTTTATTTTATATATTTATTTGATTTGTATCCTGCCCATCTGGTCTATACGACCACTCTAGGCGGCTATTCAACTCAGGGCGTGGTGGCTCTGCAGGTTAAACCGCAGAAGCCTCTGTGCTGCAAGGTCAGAAGACCAAGCAGATTTAAGCTCGAATCCACACAACGGAGTGAGCTCCCGTCGCTTGTCTGAGCTCCTCCCAACCTAGCAGTTCGAAAGCATGTAAATGCGAGTAGATAAATAGATACAGTACCACGATGGCGGGAAGGTAATGGCGTTCCGTGTCTAGTCATGCTGGCCACATGACCATGGAAACTATCTACAGACAAACGCTGGCTCTACAGCTTGGAGACGGGGATGAGCACTGCGCCCTAGAGTGGGACACAATTGGACTAAATGTCAAGGGGAAACTTTACCTTTACCTATTCCACCCGGTGACTCCCTTGATGTGTCCAGCCATTCTCAACGGGGGCCATGTGGCCCCCTTGGCCCCCCCGGCACATTTGAAGAGGGCTACTGACTGCAAACAGTTGTTCACACACCACCTTGTAAGGTTTTTGTTATGTGACTTAAGACAATCCTGACTCCAGTTGTTCACACACCACCTTGTAAGGTTTCTGTTATGCGACTTAAGACAATCCTGACTCGCTTTGTATTTCTTTCATATTGTGTTTATGGCTGTGGCCAAAATAAATACAGCTACAATTACCACCATTGTATGGCTGATGCTTGGATGGCTGGGGATCGTGGGAATTGTTGTCCAGGGTGTCAGGAGG